GAAGACCCCAACGAGATGTATCAGCCAGGTGGCATCATTGATGGACTCAAGTGTGGCAGCGGTAGTGAGGTTGGCCCAGGATCGGACATTGTTTCGTTTTGCTGTGCATGGGGTCGCTATGAGTCGGTTCCGACTCGATGGCACCTGACAACAACAATGTAATTGTCAAAAAACTTTAGTTGAAAACTGTTTTGTTGATGTAGTTAAGTGCCGTGAGTTGGTTCTGGCTCATGGCAACACTGTACAGGGTTTCTGAGTAGCGACTGGTAGGTTTGAACCACCAGACTGTGGCTAGCAGTCCAGTGAAAAGTATTTCAAATGAAATAAATACAAACTGGCTTCCTAGTTAAATTTGTGATTACTATGAAACTGTTATACATTCTATTCATTTCAAATAAGACACGACAGTGTGTCTAAGGATCCCATTTAGTTTAGGTTCATCAATTCTAAGGTTTAAAAATAAATATCAATAATTATAGGAAAATAGTAAACCAATACCACTATTCTGTGACAAAAACACATTAACCATGTAGGAGACTCTCTTCTAGTTAAAGAGACTTAATAGAAGCTTCATGTTTCTTTGAAAAATGCTTTTATTTCTTTTCATTTCATTACATACATCATGATACATAGTTACAAAGCAGAAATCTCATCATCTCCCAAAGAATATGATACCTAGATATTAAGAAAATATTTGTGAACATGTGTCTCCCCAAAATCTAATTATCATCATTAATGTCACAAAATTTGCTTTTTCCAAGAGGCCCACTGTTGAGTTGATTCTGACTTATAGTAACCCTATAGAAAGGAGTTGTCTTTGCTAAGTGCCATGGAGTCAATTCTGACCCATAGTGACCCTATATAAGGTTTCCTAGGAGTAGCTGGTGAGCTTGAACCACTGACCTTGAGGTTCAATCCAACTTTTCAGTCCAGTACATTAACCCACAGCATTACACCAGGACTCCATAGAAGATAGTACAACTATTCAATAGGGTTTCCAAGGCTGTAAACCTTTATGGGAATAGGCTGGTGGATCAAAACTACTGACCTTTCAGTTAGCAGCCCAGTGCTTCACCTACTGTGCCACCAGGACTGTTTTCATGTAAGTGTAAGAAACAATTACTGTCAATAACTATCTTGGTCAAATTATAACAAGAAATCAAATCCATAAGTGAAATTTAACAAGAAATACACAATTTTTAAATGATGCTAGCTAGAGGCTTCAATGCCAACCTAGAAATGTCATAAATGGGTTAGTCAGATGTCCATCAATGTAGCCGACACTGTCCATATATATTAATATTTATATTCTGTTTCTGAAAACACAAGCTTCCACATTAAACATCACCCTTTCTTAGTGTTAATAAATAGATAAATAATACTGGTATGGCACTGTAGGTTAATGTGCCAGACTGCAAAGCCATATGAACAGCAATGTCATGGTTCAAGTTCACCAGTCACTCCTCGAAAACCCTATACAGGGTTGCTATGGGTAGGAACCAACTCGGTGTCACGCACTTAACAACAACAACATAGAAAAAACATTTTTTTTGTATACCACACAAAATGAATATACATAAAACCTGAAGAAAACTGAAGACTAACATTCTACACAATTTAATGTTGAGTTTTAAAACACATAGTTATAACACAGTGAACAGTTTTGAATTAGTGTGAGATAAGACTTTTATAGTATGTGCTTTCATTAAAAACAAAACAACCAAGCAACCCACTGCCATCTAGTTGGTTCTAACTCATAGCGATACAACAGAACACAGTAGAACTGGTGCATAGGGTTTCTTACACTGTAGGATTTATACAAGCAGACTGTCTAACCTTTCACCTTCAAAATGGCTGGTGGGTTTGAACCACTGACCTTGTAGTTAGCAGTCTAGTGCTTATCCTATAGTGCCTCCATATAATACTGAATCAGAATCTTTGATTTAATAAAATCCCGAGGTTAAAAATCTCCTGGAGATCTATAAGAATCATCTGGGGATCTTTTAGAATCACTTGGGGGGGTCTTGTTAAAATGAAGATTTTGATTTATCATATCTGGAATAGAAGTGGAAATTCTAAAGCGCTGGTCTAGAAATATGAGGATTTATAAACTTCTAGCCCTCCTTGGCTATGTCCTTGTCCATGGGCTCAAGAGACCCCAGGTCTCACC